TTATGAAAACAGGCCCTGGCATTTAAGATATTTGCCTGGAGCTGACGGTCTCCCTGGTGCAGCAGCTCTGGCCTTTGTCTGCAGAGATGCCCCAGCCCTTTTGCTACATCCCAGAAACAGCCCTTGAAATTCAGGAAAGTGTGAAGGTCGTTGACGTCATTCACAGAGTATGGCTCTTTAACCCTAAGAACTAGTGCTCTGTAATAGAGCCCACCCCAGGATGAGGCACCCTGTGTTCCCCTGAGGGGCGTGTGGATAGAGTTTAGATGTAGGAGCTGCTGGCATGTGATTTTAGTGGAAGCCTTGGTGTGAGTGAAATTATCTAAGGAGAGAGTGAAGAGTAAGAAGAAAAACATCATTCAATGTGTGGATGAAGGAAAAAAGTGTCACTGTGTGGGATCTAAGAGGGAAGATGAGACCACCCTTTGTAACATTGCAACCTGCCTCCTGACATCCACTCTCAATCTCCTTTACTCTGGTCCAGGTTTTCTATTTACTAGAGCATTTATCACCTATGAAAATACTAGATAATTTACTTTTTATTTTATCGTGTTTTGTTTTATACCTTCCCTGCCCCCTGTCGTTTACTAGAAGGCAAACTCCATAAGGACAGGTGTCTTTGTCTGTTGATGAATTCCAAGCAGGTATAATAGTATACTTTAGAGGTGCTTAGTAAATATTTATTGAATAAATGAAATAAATAGCAATGTCTCAAAAAGTAAAGTCTCAGTCAATGGTGTCAAAAACTGCAGGGAATTTACCTAAAGCAAGTGAGGCAATTAGTAATCCATTGGCATTGTAAAGAGGAGCCATTTCAATGGTGTGACAGGAATAGAAGCTGGACTCCATTGGCGTTGAAGAGTGGATGGTCGGTGGGGGAGTACTTTTTCAAGAGACTTTACTTGGAAATGAAGAAAAGAATGGTACTTACAGGAGCACTTGGGGTCAAGGGAGGGATTTTACATTATTTGTTGCTGTTAATGGTTGAGCCTCACAGGGCAGTGACAGAATGCAATCTGGTCCCCAGAAGTGGTGAAGGAATCACCTTTGCATTATGGGAGGGTCACTTTAGTGGCCGTGGAGAGTGTGGCCTAGAGCAGGAGAGACTGGGGCCAAGGACGCAGCTGGGCCACTGCTTTCAGAGAGAATGGGAGCACTGGGAGCCCTGACACTGCCCTGGATCTCTTCTCCTTTCCTTCTGCCCAGCTCTTGCACTTCTACCTCTGGCATTCTCTCTAAGATCAGCAATCTCCTTTTAATCTCTTCCCTGAAACTTCCCCTCCTGGCTTTAGGTGAAACCTGGGTGTCCCCTGAAGCTACTCTCTCTTCCACTGCCCTCTCAAGCTGAGGCTGTGTATTCCTCTCTGCCCGACTCACCCCAGGGCCTGGAGGGGTTTCATTTTCTTCCTTTCTCCCACATCTTCAACCTCTCTTTCTCTGCTGGATTCTTTGCATAGACCCTCAAATATCTTGTAGAATTATTGTCTGGAAAGCAAACCCAAGTCCCCATTTTGCCCCTCTCCAGCTACTTCCCTATATCTACACTTCTTTATAGCCAGGGTTCTCAAATGAGTTATCCAAACTGTCACATAAAAAACAAATCCAGACGTAGGTAAGCAGAGACTTTTTTAGAAAGGATTATTACAAGAAGAAGAGGACTACTACAATAGATTGCTTCCCCCTTCTCATCTTTAAGATCTGTGAGCATCTCAAAGGTCAGACAGAAAAGGGCTTTTCTTCCTCTATAGGGAGAAGTGAATAAGTCTAGAAAGAAATGTGTGGGCAAGTAGGATGACGGAGATGAATGAGTGGAGGTGGAGGTGGCTGTGATCTGACAGATTAGAGAATGTTGAGGCCAGCCTGTTCTCGGCAGGGGTTGTTAGGGGAGGGTTGTATACTGACTCAGGCTTTGGGTGGGCCCAAGTTTAGGGGAACCTTGGGAAGGAGAAAAAGTTAACCAAAGTTCAGTTAACAAGCATTTTATTCCCATTGCTCAGTGGAGATAAAACAGTTCAGCCAATCATTTATGAGGCAAAGAAAGAGGATTTGAAGGGTTCTGTGTCTGGCCTTGTCACAGGTGAACAAAACCAATATGGGTGAATCTTCTCTAAGTTATATGGAGAAGGATATTTCTTTGTAGTAAGCCATTTCCTGAAACACATAAGAGTGAATGGGTGAGGGGTTTCCTTTAATCATGGCTATTTTTCCCAGGACCATGGAGCTCAGGTAAAATTCAGTGTTGTCACAGATAGCTGAAGCCTCTTCACCTCCCAGAACCCACCACTGCACTGAAACAATTCTTGTCAAGACCACCGGTGAGCATCCTGTGCTCAGTCTTAAAGACGTTTGACTTCTTGGAAGCCATCGCCCACCACGGGCTTCTTTTGGAAAGGCTTCTTTCTCCTGGTTCATAAAAAGTTCTTCCTCCAGCTTCTTTGACTGTTCCTTCCTTTTCAGGCTCTATTCCTCTCTCTTCCCTCTGACTCCAAAGTATCAGAAAACCTCGGGGGTCAGTCCTATGCCTTCCTCTTGCAGCTCTCTGTACCTTCTCTCAAGGCTATCTCAGTCACCTTCATAAATGTAACCACCTCTCTATGCTGACAACTCCCTAATGGGCTGTGTCGAGCTCAGATCTCTTGTGAACACTAGGTCTAGACATTCAGTTACTGCCATGACATCTCCCCATAGAGAAAGCTCAAAATCAACCTACCCAAGGGCCAACTTGATGCTCCCTCACCAAAATCTCCCTCATCTTTGATCTCCGTTTCCATGAGTGACATTTCCATCTACCCTTTAGCTCACGCTGTACCCGTGCCCGGAGAACTCTCTTGCTAGCTAATGACTGTGCTTCCTTCTTATCTCAGCTTAAAATGTTACTCCTCGGGGAAGTCTTCCCTAACAACACCAGCACGCCCCATGACTAAAGTCCGCCTTGTGCTGCCTCCCAGAACCCTGTACTTTTCTTCATGACATCAACCACATTTTTGCTTTATTTTGTTTACTGTGTCTTGTCCATTTGGACTGTCAGCCCCACAAATGCAAGGATTCTGCACCTGCCCCACCCCTGGCACAGAGCAGGTGCTGGGTACGTATCTGTAGAAGAAAGGAGGGGAGGGAGGGAAACAGGGAGGAAGAAGCCTCTTCTGATAGTTCACTACAGGAGATAAAGTTTTTAAACTAAACTTTTAACGTTAGAGCAGTTTTAAATTTACTTAATTGTTGTGAAGATGGTACAGAGAGCTCCATATCCCCCCCACCATGGTTTTCCCTATTAGTAACATCCTATTTTACTAGGGTACATTTGTCTCAATTAATGGACCAATATTAATACATTTTTATTAGTTAAAGCACATATTCCATTCTGATTTCCTCAGTTTTCCCAAGATATCATTTTTCTGTCCTGGAATCCCATTGAGGATACCATATTACTTTTAGTAGCCATGTCTCCTTAGGCTCCTCTTAGTTGTGACAGTTTCTCAGGCTGTCTTTGGTTTTAATGGCCTTGGCAGTTTTGAAGATTATTGGTCAGTTATTTTGTAGAATTTCTTCAAATGGGATTTCTCCTATATTTTTCTCATGATTAGACGGGAATAATGTGCTTTTAGGAGGAAAATCATACATGTAAAGTGCCATTCTTACTACATCTTATCAAGGGGTACATGGTATCAATATGACTTTAACACTGTTGATGTTAATCTTGATCACCTGGCTGGAGATAGTGTTTGTCAGACATCTCTGCTGTAAAGTTACTCCTTTTTTTCTCCCTTTCTGTAATATGTTCTTTGGAATAATGTCATTATGTGTACCTCAGACTTAAGGAGTGGGGAGTTAGGCTCTGTCTCTTTAAGGTGGAATATCCACATAAATTATTTCACATTCTTCTGTATAAGATTTCTCTATTGCCCTCATTTATTTATTCAGTCATTTATTTATATCAGTATGAACTCGTGGATATTTATTTTATACTCTGGGTTATAATCTAATAATACTTTCTATGAACTGAATTGTGTTCCCCCTTGTTCATATGTTGAAACCCTAACCCCCAGTGTGATGGTATTGAAGATAGGTCTTTGAGAAGTAGTCAGTTTAGATGAGGTCACAAAGGTAGGGCCCTCATGAGGGGATTAGTGCCCTTAGAAGAAGAAACACCAGAGAGCTTTCCCTGCTATGTGAGAACACAGCAAGAGGAGACCATCTGCAGGGAAGGAAGAAGACCTTTACTGGGGAACAGGATTGGTTGGTCTTGGACTGCCCAGCTTCCAGTATTGTGAGAAATAAATTCCTGTTTAAGCCATCCAGTCTGTGGTATTTTGTTATGGCGGCCCAAACTGACTCATACACTACTTTTTTTATTTTGTTGCTCAAATTGTGTTCCACATTTGACGACTGGTTACTCTTTACATTATCCTCTGTATCCCTCTGACATACCTTCCATCGTTGTGAGTTTGTTTGGTTTTGTTTTGAACTCTAATTTCCTGGTACTCGAGATGCTCGAATCTTAGAATCAGCCATTTCTCCAAGGAGTCCTGACTCTTTTTATTAAAAACCAAGATTTGGTGCTAAGTGTACTCATTGTTACTAAGTGTACTCATTGTTGCTAGGGTATCATCATTTCTACACCTTTTCAGCTGATAGAGGAAGGAGCTATATATATGTGTGTGTACTAACCTGTGTATATACACATATCTATAAATATTTCTATCTGTTACCATCTGTATGAATGTTAAGCTAAACATGAGTTCATACTGTTGTCTCCAACTCTCATCCATTACCCCATTGAATAGTAGTCTGACTCCTTTCTTTGCTTATCTATAACCTTGCACTCCAACAATTAGAAACCTGGCTTTTGCCACCTGCCGTCCATTCACTTAATTGTTCAGTTGCAGTAAACACATACAGAAGTATCAGAATTGTTAGCCTTTACACCTAAGAGAAACAACTTTGTTAACTAGAGTATAGTCCTCATGTGTAGTACCTTTTGCCTGTCATCTCACTGCCTGCAAAATATGAAATGCTTTGTGAATTTGCATACCATCCTTGTGCAGAGGTCATGCTAATCTTCACTGTATGTTCTAATTTTAGTGTATGTGCTGACAAAGTGAGCACAATAATCAGACTTTTAACAAATATGCAATATGGCAACTGCAGGAAAGAAGAATATACTTATCTACATGCAAAGGCTTTTAACATATGTCATCTCATTTCATTTACTTTGTTCCATTCAAAGGAAAGAAGCCCCCATCCCACTTATATAGATCATCATATTATTGAATTATTTAGGAATTATCAAAATGTTCATATTTAAAATATTTTGAAAGACATCTAGGTACAATATTTTGCTTGTTTACCTCTTTTAATGAGTAAATAGAATAATTGGAAATTAGTAACTTAATTGTTTATCTATCATTAAGGGACAACTAATAGAAATTAAAAATCTAAATAGTTTGTCTTTTTAAAATTAGATTAAGCATCCTTCCTTCTTCATCTTTCTTCTACCTTGTTTTCACTATCAGTTTGTGAGTCTACGCCTTTTTAAAACAGAAGTAGTACTTAAGTAAGTTTGAGTCCATCCTCCTCTCAGAGGCTGCTGATTCTGAGTTATGTTACTTGTTTATTAGAGTATTTATAACAAATATACATTGTCCTTGCTATCTACCTAACTCCATACGACCCCTGGCTTCACTTATAACTTTTTTCCAGCTTTATTGAGGTATTATTGACAATTAAAAATTTTATATATGTAAGGTGTACATGTGATGTTTCAGTGTACATATACATTGCGAAATAATTACCACAATCAAACTAATTAACATATCCATCACCTCACGGTTAGGTTTTTGTGTGTGTAGTGAGAATACTTACGATCTGTTCTCTTAGCAAATTTCAAGTATATAATACATTATTATCAGCTATAGTCACCATGCTGTACATTATGTCAGCAATAATAAATTAATAAATTTTTTTTATTGAAATATAACTTAAAATTGCTGTAATTTTTACACACTTAATTGTAGATGTTTTAAACTTTGCCAGAAGAGCCCCTATTTTTGTTATATATCACATATGCCATATTCTGTTTTATCATTAAAATATTTTAGATGCCCAAATCACAAAGGAATGATCATTTTTTTAATACAGAATAATTTTTTTGTTTGGGAAAAAGAAAACCCATTTTGAATTGTGTGTTTTGTGTGTACTATTTAACTTCTTTCTCCTAAATGAAGCATTGCTAGCCGTAACTCTGTATTTTTCTAAATGTGGTTGTGCTCACCTTGAGTGGAGACACTGGAAATTATTATAAGACAGTGAATTATTTTACAATGGTTTTCAGACAATAATTACCAAAAACCATATAATATTTGCAGGTAGTGATTGAATCAATGACTTTGGCAATATTTCCAAAGGCTGGGTTCTTTTTAAAGATGAAAAATACGTGAGTAGATTTTCTCATAAGAGCCTGCATTAATTTGCTAAGGCTGCCATAACAAAATGCCACAGACTGGGTGGCTTAAACCAATTTATTTTCTCACAGTTCTGAAGGCTGGAAGTCCAAGATCAAAATGTCGGCAGGTTTGGTTTCCTCTGAGGCCTCTCTCCTTGACTAGCAGTTGCCAAGATTCTACCGTCTTGCTGCCTCTTCACATGGTGGTTCTTCCGTGTGCACACACTCTTGGTGTCTCTTCCTCTTCTTATAAGAGCACCAGTCACTGGGTTAGGGCCTGCCCTAAGAGCATCATCTTAATGTAATCATCTCTTACAGACCTTGTCTTTAAATATGGTTACACTTTGAGGCACTGGCATTGGGACTTCGACATATGAATTTTGGGGGGTATGGTAACTGGGCCATGTATTGCTCATCATCTAGCAGGCAAGCTTGGGCTTAATCACCTGGTTGTGTTCATAGGGTTTTCAAGAGCTGAAAGAATGAGTAAGCCCCAAAGAGTAAGTACTTTTCAAGTCTCTCCTTGCATCACTTGTGCTGATGTCTTCTCTGCCAAAGCAAGTCATACGGTCAAGCCCAGATTCAGTGGGTAGAGAAGTAGACTCCATCTCTTGATAGGCGGAGCTGCAAAGCCACAGTGCAAAGGGACATGACTGTGGGAATGAGAGGAGTTTGTGATCTCTGGTGAGAAGAAGGCGGAGATGTAATGATGAGAAAAATAAACTGAGTAAAGTCTATTCTTAGAACTGTTTTCCCTTACATTGAGCAATTATCTTTTGAGAAAAAATGAAGGCCGTCCTCCAAAGAAGTACAGATGCTGGCTGTTGCGAGTGAAAACACAACCGGAACAGGACGGGGCAAAGGGGTCTGAGGGGACATGGGGGAGCGCTCAGAGGATCTGCTTCCTGAGCTTCTGGAAATAGGAAACAAATCTTCTGAGTTCTCAGTAGATTAAAACATGTGAAATTTGTCTGTGGGGAGCCAAGAACATTTTTCCTGTTGACGACATTATTTCTTGTTAAGGCGTTTTTTAATGTGAACTGTTGACCAGGTAACAATACGGGTCACTTTTTCTGCACTTAGAACCAGCAAATCCCTGGAAATTTCCCCATTGCCATATTATTGAACTCAAAAATATCAAATATGAAGATGTTTAACTGAGAAACCTGGAAGTCATACCTTCCTCTGCAAGTACATAATATGACTCTTACACTGGGTACTCTCTGTAATCTCACGAGAATAGCAACTCCTTGGTTATTCTCACCAGTCAGTACTGGTTTGTATCTACTCTGATCCTTCTGATACCAATTTATCAGTTTCTTTATGCCTTAATTCACTGTCAAAGGTAACCATTAATCCCCACTCCCTTAATTTAGAGGGCTGAGCACAGTCCTAAGTACATATCATAGAACTAAATTCTCAAACAACTTTGTTTGGAGTGTTTGGGCGTTGAGTGCTTTTAACACTTTGCTGAGTTTCATTCTACAAATGTGATAGAGGAAACTTCTGTTAGTCCAAAATACCCACAGGAACCATGCTGCCCTCCACATTAAAAAAAAAAAGACGTCTAACCTATAAACCCTCACAGCGTAACTTCATTTAAAGACTGATAGCATTTTTGTCCAAATTAGAAATGGAATTTTAGAAGAGATGAACACAATGGATGCTGTCATTTCCTGAAAAATGTTTAACTGTGATCTCCCCCCTACTTTATAAGTTGGAGTTGAATAGCAAAGGGAGGAGGCTGTATCTGTCAGTTTTTCTCATAGTAATGCTGCATAACAAATCACCACAAGAATCTCAGTGGCATTCAACAGTGAGCATTTATTGTCAGACTCACAGGTCTCTGGGTCTTCTGGGCTGGTTCTCCTTCAGGCTGCAAGTTGTTTATGTGTTGTCTGGGGCAGATCTGCTCCATGTGTCTTAGGCTGGGTCCAGGCTGGTGCCATAGCAGCTACTGGGATATGTTCTTCTCTTGGTAATGGAAAGAAGCTTCTAGAGAGACAAATGAGAGCACTCAATACCTGTTATGACTAAAGCTTTGATCTGGTGCCCTGTCACTCCATTGACTAGAGCAAGGTAACACAATTAAGACCAAAGGCAGGAGCAGGTAATGAACACTGCCCCCCAAAAGGCCACGGCAAGTGTAGGATGTACAAAATCTCCAGAATAGTGAAGAACTGGGGTTGACAATTCCATCTACCACAGAAGGGTTGTTGTTTCTGGAAATGAAAACTTCCTTGGATACGTAATAGGCAATGTTTATATGGTTCATTGAGATTTAGTGCTTACATTGGAGTTAATTGATTGTGCTTCTTGATTCACCTGAGTCTGGGAGAATTCAAAGATACTTTTTAATATGTTTACTTGAAATAGTGATAAAGAGTTTCAAATATGTTTTTCTTGTATTTCTAACTATAGCTTGAAAACTGGACTTCTTTCTGTGCCAGCTTCTTCTCCCTTTTTTGGTGTCTGTTAACGTCCTTATTTTAATTCAGCCCTGAGGTCCTGAAGAGTGAGCCGTACGGGGAGAAGGCCGATGTCTGGGCGGCAGGCTGCATCCTTTATCAGATGGCTACTCTGAATCCTCCCTTCTATAGCACCAACATGCTCTCCCTGGCTACGAAAGTAAGCAAAGTTGGGAGACAACAGAGTCGTGTTGTTACAAAAGCCATTGCCCTTCTTAAATAGAACCTTTCTGATTTTTATAAAACTGTCAATTAAAAGCAGGCATTATTTTATTAACAACACAATCCAGTTTATTTTTTCCCCTTTCTTCTAAATATATGGCATGCGCTATGGCATATTTTCGCCTATAATTGTCTTCATTTATCATAGAAAATTATAAAAATAAATTTATCAAATTACTTTTGGTCTCTTATTTTTAATGGCAGTTTGGATTACCCACAATTTGGCATATTATATTATCCTATACATCATTTATTATGAATCTGAGGTTAACTTTAACTCAGCTTGAAGAGTACAATTCCATGCTCAAGAACTGTTTAATTGATGTTAATTTTTAATTTGTTGGGATATTTTCATTTCTGATTAAAATTTGTGCACAAAGTTATAATGCTTATTGAGTAACTCTTATGTTGTGGCCAAGTATTACTGCTCAAAGCTGTCAATGGCCCCTTGACTTCCATCACTCTAGTCTGTTTATTTTGCAGATCGTGGAGGCAGTATATGAACCAGTGCCGGAAGGCATCTACTCTGAGAAAGTGACAGACACTATCAGCAGGTAATTAGTCTCACCACTTCAAACATACAAGGATTATCAAGAAATACCTTGTAGCTATATAAATTCACTATGTAAATATTCATAAAAAAGAAGCGTTCCCAAATAATCCAAACCTAGAAAAATGTTTGTGCATCATCAGTAGTTGTGACCATTTGGAAGCCACCAAAGTGTCCAGGAGGAAGTAGTACGTTCGCTTAAAATATTGTTCAACCACCCGTGAGAATGATTATTTGGAAGGCTTTGTATCAACCTGTTAAAACATGTACAATGTGAGGCTAAGTACAACAAACAGCATGTAAAGGTGCTTATGACGAAAAGCGTAAAATATGCATGAATGTGGAAAAAGGTTGGGCAAGAACATATGAAACTGAAAAAGGCCGTTAGATGATAAAACTGTAAGCATTTTTTCATTTCTATTTTTAAATCACCAGGATTATGTTTTATAATAAGTTTTCAAAGAAAGTCAGAAAGAAGTGCTCCCACTATCAATATAGTAGGAGTTTAATGGGAGTCATTATCCTGATGCAGCTGCAGAGTTCTGACCCCACAGAGCTTGTCCCAGCTGACCTCTCATCCCATCCCCTCCCACTTTTCCTCTGCTCCCTCAGCTCCATCCATGGGAGCTTCCTGCTGGTCATGGCATGTACCTTCTCTCTGGACCATTCCTTGCTCTTCCCTTTTGCTGGAACTCTCTTCTCTCTGATACATGCATGGCACGGGCTCTCACTCCCCTTGGGTCTCTGCGGAAATGCCTCCTTATCAGGAAGCCCGCCCTGATACCCCCACAGCCTCTCCACACCCTCACCCCCTTGCCTGCTTTATAAATCTCACAGCACCCATCACCCCCAACATGTTAGACATGTGTGTGTGGAAGTGTTGCTTTATTGTCCGTCTCTTCTCCACCAGAATGAAAACTGCACAAGAGCAGGAATTTTTCAGTTTCGTTCATAGCTGTTTAGTGCCCAGAGCAATGCCTGGTATGAAGTAGACTTTAAACAAATACTTGTCTCATGAATAAATGACTCTCGTTTATCTGGTTGATCCTTATTTCTGGACTATCTTATCCGCTTAAGTTGGTTCAAGGTTACTTCTCTGCTCCACTGAGCTGAGTCAAATTCTCATTATTATTCTAGAAATCCTAGAGTCACCTTGTATACAATCTTTATCTATCCCCCTGCCCAGTTCCCTTAGAACTTGGTTTAGTATCTATCCCAGCACTTAGCACCATCTCTGATGGAATGGAATAGATGGATTACTGTGGCTGTGCCCTTTTCCCTTTGGTTTCCCCTTCAGCCTGTTGTTTTGCATTAATAGCTACTCATCATGTGCTCGTAGGATTATATCTTGACTCTTTTCTTGTTCAGCACAATGCTGCCCTACAGTACCAAGAGCCTCAGGTCTAATAGCTGTGGACTCTGAACAAACAATTTGACCATTCTTTCTGCATCTCTATTTCCTCATCCAGTAAAATGGGATCATAATGGTACCAACCTCATCAGGCTGGTGTGCTCATTACACAAAGTAATATATGCAAAGCACTGAGCATAGAGCTTGGCAAATGGTAAATATTTGAGCAATGTTGACAATTATCATTGTTCAAATTATGGGAAATGAGCTGAAAACTCTTTCTAAATCATCTGAATTCCAAATGTACTGGATCATGCCCTGTTGCTAATGAATGCAGACAAATGTTTTAAACTGTTCGTCTCCGCACTTTGTTCCTGTTCTCTGCTATTTGTTTTTGGAAAGTGCCTTAAAAATTCAAGAAGTCTCCGGAGATGTCAAGACAACTGTACCAGATTTACTCATTTCATTTTTCCTTTTCATAGGGATTTGAGTGCCACAAAGAACAGGGGAGGAGTAGTGCAGAGAGAAAGCACAGAGTCCTTATTTTGATTTTGCGGCACTGGGAAAACAGGACCGTAATTTGCTTCTGACAGGCTCCCTGGCTGTTGGTAGCCATGCTTCTTGGGGATAAGAGGCTGGAGGAGGAGTCAGATAGCAGCATTATCATGTAGAACATCATCAATAGATTCTGAAATCTGCTAGATTCTCATCCCTAGTCTCCCACTCACTGTAACCTTCCCAAGCCCCACTTCTCTCATCTGTGGTGTGTGGGTAACAATAGTAACTACTTGTGGGCTTGTTTTGAAGCCTAAATAAGATAATGCTTCCGATGCTCTTAGAGTAGTACCTAGCACGTAGTGAGCCTTCAGTAAACTTAGGTATTTTTATTAATATTATTATTTATGGAATTAAGTATATAAAACAAATTATGATAAATTTGATGAAGGCTGGTAGAAGGGGCAATGAGAGATTACAGAAGGACTTGGCCTAGTCTGGGGATTTGGGAAAAGTTTCTATGAAGAAAAGACATGTGATCTGAGATCTTAACAGTCACTAATTCTCAAATGGTAGACAGAGCGGAGGAAACATTTCATAGACCAGCATCTGTGAAGGCTTTCCTGAGAGAAAGAGCTTGTTAGTTTGAGGAACTGGAAGAAATTGGAGACGTAGCATGTTAAGGAAGGGAACAAATAGCCAGTGAATGATTAGGGCCTGGGGAGGCTGACAGGGGCCAGATCAAGTAGGTCCTATAAGCTACACTGAGGGTTTTGAATTTTTTTTTTCTGATTGCCCATATTTTATATGTAAAATATATGTATTTTATTGAAGTATAATTGATACATGACATATTCAACAAGGAGTTGATATCCAAAATCATACAGAACTCATACAACTCAATATCAAAAAAACAAACAATCTGATTAAAAAATGTGCAGAGGGCCTGAATAGACATTTTTCCAAAGAAGGCATACAAATGGCCGATGGGTACATGAGAAGATGGTCAACATCACTAATCATCAGTGAAATGCAAATCAAAACCATAATAAGATATCACCGCACACTTGTTAGAATGGCTACTATCAAAAAGACAAGAAATAACAAGTGTTGGTGAGGATGTGGAGAAAAGGAATCCTCGTGCACTCTTGGTGGGAATGTAAATTGGTGCCACCACAATGGAAAACAGTATGGAAGTTCCTCAAAACATTAAAAACTGCCATATGACCCAGTAATTCCACTTCTGGGTATTTATCCGAAGAAAACCAAAACACTAATTCGAAGAGGGTTTTGAATTTTTATTTAGAGTGCTGAGGAGAGGACTGAAGTGTTATTAACAGGCTGGGACATAGTGAAAATTTCTCCTTTAGCAAAGGTCATGCTGGCTGCTCTATGGGAAATAGACTGGAGAGGAATGAGAGTGGGAGGGACAAGCAGGTCCAGCTGTCCACTGAGAGATGATGGCAGCTTTGACTGCAGCAGTGGTGGTGTTGACGGAGAGAAGTGGGGTTGTTTCCACTGAGGGTTAGAAGTTGAGTCAACAGGTTTTGGGATGTAATCGTAAAAGGATTAAACAACACTTCAGTTATTCCATTTAGAAAATGGAATGACATCGAAAATATGAAAACAATTGGATTCATTCTGTGGAACTTCAGAAAATGGAGCCAAGACCATGGAGTGGAAGTTTCGAGAAGGCCAAGGTCAGCACACCATTAGGAAGTGTGTGTCAGAATGAGAGCTAGCCACAGCGGAGCAGGCTGCTGGATGCGTAGTGAGTTCCTGTTACCAGACTGTTTAAAAGGATGAATGATCACTATTAGGGGACTCCAGATTAAATGTTTTTGAGGACACTTTTAATTCAAAAGACTAAAATGCCATAATAGGTAAGAACTGACAGTCTAACTTTATAGCTGACTAAAAATTAAGATTGCAGTGTGTGTTCTATAATAGATGTTGGTTTCATCTAAAGTTATTCGGGACTCATTGTCTGGATTCACATCACGAATAAAGTTTTGTCTTTAGAAAACTTGACATAAAACCAAAATCAGTTGTGAGCTGTATGCAATTACATATTTAATTTGCTTTGGATTTTTAGTCTTTAAAAATTATTTCAGGGGCCTTCCCGGTGGCATAGTGGTTGAGTTCACACACTCGGCTTCAGGGGCCCGGGGTTTTCTGGGGTGGATCCTGGGCATGTTCCTGTGCACCTCTTATCAAGCCATGCTGTGGCAGGTGTCCCACATATGAAGTGGAGTAAGATGGGCACGGATGTTAGCTCAGGGCCAATCTTCCTCAGCAAAAAGAGGAGGATTGGCAGCAGATATTAGCTCAGGGCTAATCTTCCTCAATAAAAAAAATTTTAATTTCAAAAGAATTAGGGAACAAATTGGATTTTCTACTTTCTTAGTTTCCCATTTTCTTTAGGAAATTGATGCAAGGGACACATAAAGGCAAAAGTATTCTTAATGATCATTCATGGCTCAGCAAATCAGCCTCAGAGCCATTTACTAGTAATGTGATGGAGTTTTTGAAATATAGGACAACCATTGATGGGAAAGTTCACTAGAGTCATTCTTAATTTTAAACCAGTTGTTGTTTCCAGTCACATATGTCTTCTTTCTTCTGCTTTACTATCGTCTAATTTTTACCTTCTTCAGCTTGTCAGGTAGAGCTCACATAGTTTGTATTTCTGATGTCCAGCATCTTTCCTTTTTCCTGTTTGTTCCTGTGGTTCACAAGCACATTTGTCATTGGAACTTTTCTTTCCTAACAGGCTTTGAATTTGGAAGAATAACTTAGCAACCCTGAAGAGTTTGGGGCAAAAAGTAAATACATTTTGTTGCTCTGCCCAGTACCAGCCTTACTATTTTTACCTTCCAGTACACTGTTAAGAGAGTATTGTCTGTTTACTTTTTAAAAAGGAAGAACATTTCCTTTTATGCACAAAATATTCCAGTTGCCTTATTTTTCTCTATTTGTGCCTGGTTGCATAAGCTGTCTGGTGCTTTGTTTCAGAGGCAGTCATGACGACTAACAAAGTTAATGTTTTCAGTTAGTTCTAAGAACAAGTGGATCTTTATATTTTTCACCCTGCCTTCAACTCTTTGTTTCTTAAACATGAAATGAATACAATCAAATATTGTATCCCTCTAATTCTTTCTATCTGGTCTCTCAGAGCAGAGTGGGGACAAAGTGGGTGGGGTGAGTGGAACATCCCAGATTTTTTTCTAGAACCTGATTTCATGCTTATTTGATTAGAGAATCGTTGAAGCATTTGGTTGCTCTTAAGAATTTCTCTGAACAATTGAAGCAGGGAAGCATTTCAAAACAATGAGGCTAAATTAGAATTTCTGATAGAAGTTCCTGGAAGTTCAGAATTCTGTGGCCAAAATATTTTGGGCTATAGACAGGTAAATTGGTAAAATCTTAGATGTTAATTCAGTCTAAGTTCATTCAATCATTCTTTGCTGAATACCTAGCAGGACCCGGATTCCATTTTACATGCTGGGGAGATCACGGTGAAGTGGACGCATGTCCCTCCTCTTAAGAAGTTTCCATTTTCTAGTGGTGAAACAGATGATTGCAATACAGTAATTATAGTAGTTTTAAGTACTTTAAATATAGACAAGTGCAATGAGAATTTATAAAAGGGAGATGATAAGTCTATCATAAGACGGCCAAGAAGCCTTCCTAATGGAGACTTGGAAAAGAGTGGGATTTTGGCAAGCAGATAATGGATGTAGTTTGGCAAAGGGCAGATACCATCAGCAAAAAGCAAATCCAAGCAGAGGGAATAAGATGAATAAAGAAATGGGGCATTAGAGAGCCGTGGACCGGGTGGGAAAGTACAGGTAGGAGCATCTGGTATGTTTCTGGGGAGGGTGGGAAAGAGGGGGTGAGGCTGTGGAGGGAAGTAAGGGCCAGTTCAAGAAGGGGCTTATATGGCATGCTGGGAATGTTAATTTTGTCCTATTGGGCCATGAGGGGCTATTGAGGAATCCTGAACAGAAGAGTGATATAGTCAGTTTTGGATTATTCTGGTGGCAGTTTGCAATATGCATCAGAGGTGGACAAGAGATGAGCGTGTCGTTTAGGAGACTATTTCAGTAGTCCAAGCAAGTGATGATGAAATAGGCCAATAGCCATGGGATTAGAGAGGAAGGACACGGATTTGAGAAATGTTTAGGAGGTGGAAGCCACAGAACTTGGTGTTGGTTAAATCTGGGAGGTGATAGAGGAGAAATAGAAGTGTGGATTTTCTTTTCAATTTATTGAGGTTTTAGAATGTGCCAGTGCTTTACCAAGATGACTTCATTTAATCACTATAACAATTTGATGAGGTATGTACTGTGATTATCCCATTTTATAGATGGGCTATCTGAGACTTAGAAGCTAAATCTTGCCCAAGATCAGTGTTAATAAAGGGTGAGCCAGGGTATAACCTTGCCAATCTGACCCAGAGCCTGCATGCCTAATAATGATGCAAAACTGCCTCTCCCTGTGGTTTCTTTTTCAGTGATGGCAAATACAGGATGAGGAGTGACTTTGGGACAGAAGGAGATGACTAGGTGCTAGAACAGTGGCCATTCTGACTCCCGCTTACCGTACTATATAACTATATAATTTGTAAAACTGGCTTATGCTGACTTTTGACTAAAAAATAAAGCTCAGCTGATAATTCAACTGCTAAAGTTACTTTGAATCAGTTTAAATATCTGAAGACAAGGAACTTAGTCTAATGCACTAATGAAAGGTTTAGATGCTGGGGTTTAATGCACTAATGAAAGGTTTAGATGCTGGGGTTTTTCTTTCTCACATGATAGTCTTAACCAACACTAGGTCAACCCAGCATTTTTATTAGCTTTAATCCCTTTTGCTAATTAAGTGAGGGTAGATGAAAAAGT